CAGTCGTTTGACTGCTGTTCGCCAGCCAGACCTTGTTCTCCAGCCTAAGATAGTCCTTGCTGCCGTGGCCAGTTTTAGCTCAGGTTTTCTAGGCAACCCCAGTTCTCTCGGCTCTCTTTCTTGATCTTCCCAGAGCCTGCTGTCCCTCCTCGGCAAAGGATAACAGAGCTGTTCACGTGTCAGCTTCCAAAGGTGGTCGCCTCTCACAGCTACCGTCTCTTCCTGGTCCCCCTGTCATCCACCATCCCCAGCTCCGTGACTTGTCCGTAACCTAACCCGCTTGGACGCTTCTAGCTCCTAATGTAACTGTACTCAAGTGCTCAGCACTTAAATATTGATGTGCTAATTAATAATGAAAACCATAATTGTAGTTGAATTTAAAACTTTAATTTGCTGAAGGGTTAGCAGCAATGCAGTCCATAACAATGAAACTGTGCTATTACTATATATATATATATATATATAAGTATCCTTTCCTCTAGCAATAACCTTGCACAAGAAAAGTATCCCGTGTCTGGATGTCTGTGAAGACGTTTGCTTGTGACTCCTGGAGGTCTGGAGTATGAAATCATAAAATACTGGGTATGACTTTCAAAGGGCTTTTATTTTTAATCTGTTTGGAAAGGTTTTCATTCCTAAACTTAAATGAAGGGGTGGGGGGGGTGGGGGGGAGATCCCTGGAAAGAAATGAATTTCTTTTCCACTTCAGACATTCCAGCCTGCCAATGCAGTGATTGTTGCAATCCTAAATGAGTAGAAGGTATTGCACTGAAATACGTTTAGCCAACGATAATGAAGATAGTGCTGTTAGGATGCATAGTGTTGAACAAATCTCAGATGTTCTGCGTAGAAAAGCTTATATGCACATGCAAGATGAGGAATTCCCAATCACATTCTGCCCTTTCTTCTGGAAGGGACTGCTTTCCTACACCACAGAAAAACTCTTTTTTGGCTTAGGGAGGAATCAGTGGAAGCCAAACTGCTCAGGACGGAAGCGCGGTGCAGATCTCGCCAAGTCCCACTCTTTCTCGACAACCAAAAACATGTCTGCGTTCCCGCGGCTCCTCCTTGCCTGGCGGTGAGCTCCGTTCTCCTGCCGCATTAAGGAGAAAATGATAGAGATGGGGGTATCTAAGCTGCTGAGTAGCAACTCATTTCCTTCGCTGTGAATGACCGCACGAACAGAATCTATCCTGGAAGAATGGAAATCTCTTAGTTGCTCTTAACTGAGACTTGGCGTTCCCTGTGTCTCTGTCTTGGCCTTCAGATCTGCTTCATTTGCATCTCTCATCCAAGGATATGGGATGGTTGGTGTAAGAGACTATCTTGCAAGTCTGTATGCAAGGGACTTCCCTCCCCTCACAAAAATTTTAAAAAAACAAAACTCAGTGTCTAGTCTTAAGCGGCAGTTTGTGCGATAAAAAGCAAGATGCAACTGCAGGAGAACTGGATGGTGTACCAGGTTGGTAGGGAACATTGTAGTAGTACAAATACTTTCACTCCTCCTGAGTACACTCCAGGCAGTAAAGCCAGGGAGGGAGCGATCTTCTACAGTTTGACAGACTAATTCCAGACTAAGGGCAAAATGGACAAAAACCAATCGGGAATAGCAAGCGGAGCTGAAAAGATGGAGAAAGTGTTCTGGATAGTAAGGGACCGCAGAGGTGTGGGATGCGTAGGTGGCAATATGGAGTGAATACAGTGATTGTGCGCCCTGGGTGTGCGTGACTGGAATAGCTGTGTGTTGTCAACCAACTGCTCCTCTGCATTACTTGCGGTAATATTTTCTGAGCACATTTCTATGCTGTTCAGTGGTGACTCCTGCTGAGATAGGTTGGCATTGCACCAGCTGCATATCCCCTGCCAAAGTTTCAAGTAATTCCTGCTAAATTAAATCAACACTGGAGCATTATTTTATTTAATTAGGAATGGATAAGCATAGAAAAATGAAAATTTTATTACTAAATTATTTTAAATAGCATGGACATAGATAAATCTATTCGTGCCATAGGTAAACTTTAAAAGGAGGGATATTTTTTTAGGTCCATACTTTTAGATTCACAGAAATCAGACAGATGCCTCTGAATGTTTTTGTATGTCGTTATAGGAATTTTTGTCACAAAACCTATTTGAGACTGACACAATATTTCTCATATCCATTAACTAAAGTATAAAATCATATCACCTATTACTTTGAATCTGTAAAAGATTCCCTGAGGAACTGTGCTCGCACACAGATTGCAGCATTCAGTAAGAGCCTGGTGTTTTTAAAGCCCATTAAAATATATGTTGCGTATTTCCACTGGTGCTATTGACTCATTCTGAAATGTTTAATTCCTTCAGCTGGAATACTAAAATATTAAGTAGCCGACACGGCCGCGGCTTGGCTGAACATGAGCAAAATGCTTAATTCTGAAAGCGGTAGCGTTTCCCTGCGCGCGCTCTATAGGCGAGCGGGCGGCCAAAGGGCTGGGACGGGGGCGCGCTGATGGGGGGGGGGTCCGGCCGCTTAAATTTGGGACGACCCGCAGCTACAGGACTGCTGGGGACGGGGCGGTGGGGGGTGTCTGCCTGAATGTGGGGGCTAGGAGGAAGAAACAAGTAGGACGGGGAAAGGGAGGCCAGTGTAAAAGGAGCTCTCGGGGCAAGACACGCTGTAAAGGGAAACAGAGCAGAAAAACCCGGCCGGGGTGCTGCTGGCCAGGGAAGCGCAGCGTTTCGGGAGCGTGAAACAGTGAAGGGGAGCAGCAACAGCTGCACAGCTACAGTCATTTCATTTAAATAATGATGGAGTAAAGTGTTACTCTACAAAGACATAAACTGTATTTTTCGGAGAGAATTTTTTCCAAATGACAAGCTGATGCAAACCCAGCAATTTTGAGCCTATAGTTCTTGTTTAAACAAGTTTTACAAGGGCACTGTTTGACTTTTAAAGCCCTTGTTAGTGAAGTGTCTCCTCGCTTCCAGCCAAGTGTGGGCCTGCGCTTGGTTTTAAAGTATTTTAAGATTTCAGAGGGGTGTACAGGGACGTACGGTCTAGACCTCGTCCCATGTACAGGGCAGGTAAGCATGAAACTGGTAGTTGCTGGAGAGCTGGAAATACGGTGGTCAGCCGGAGCGCTCGGGGAGGGGAAGGGAAGTGAAACGCAATCCCCTTACGGATCTTTATCGCTGCTGCCATTTAAACACCTTTATTGTGATTTAGCTGCAGAGTCCTACTTGCAGTTTGGAGAGAAACTCCAACTCTCCTACACAGGGAGAAATGCACCAGCCGAGAGTCTGTTTATGCCTTTGGGGAAGGCTGCTGTGTGTGGAGGAGTGGTCTGTGGGACTCTGCCTTGCCTTTTGCACAAGTTAGCACGTGCGCCCGTAAGGGAAAAGGACGTCTCTCCTGGTGACAACGGTTAAGTGTTTTCTTACAAACTGGAAGTCCAGTCTTGGTTCTGCGAGAGCAAGCTGTTTAAGCCAGGCTTTTCATAAGGCTGTTCCTTGTTTCCCAAGTGTCCTGTGAGAGACCTTAGTATCGAGCTGAAGGCTCGTTAGGGTATCATCTGCTCTGTGTGCTGGGATCCTGGGGCCGAAACAGCATGTGCCTGTTGTACTGAAGGCTGTTGTTACCGAGCGCACAGCCTTCGCTTTGCCCTCCTCAGCGTCAGCCTCGCCAAGCTCTGCCTTACGTGGCTTTCTGCCCTGGCAGCTCTTTGGCCCTCTCCTTTGACCTAGTGCGGTTTTTTAAGCGGTGATGGATTTCTAGAGGGCAAGCTCATGTCGTCTGATGCTTGAGGAAACGGTTACCAACGGTCTAGGCTGCTTTCGAGAGAGGGATGGGGAGAGCTAGGGACCAGGGTGGGGGCAGGATACCACAGCAGGGGCCTTGAGGAGGCCAGCGAGGCGCTGGTGTCCCTTCCCCGGCAGGTGAATCCCCTGGCCACACCGTGAGAGCAGAGGCTAAGCCTTTGCCACAGCACCGGCAACGCCCGTCATGCTCCAGGTCGCTGCCTCGAAGCCAGGCAGCTGCGGGGCCACGGGCGGCTCCAGCCTGCAACCCAGCATGTTTCTTGAATATGACTTGAGAAGCAGGTTAACCGTTTTGGGTTGGAGGTGCCTTAGCCAGGGGCGGGAAGGAGGAGGGTGAAAGGATCGCGGAGGGTCCGTCCGCCTCAGCGAGGCGTAACGAGCCCCAACATGGCGCCGGGAGGTGTGTGTGACCGGGGGTGGGGGGAGGTGTCACCTCCCCCCCTTCCCGCCCGGCACAGGGTGGCGCTCTATCGGGCGCTGCTA